AGCGGAAAGCAGTGAGTGGACCGTAGTCCGACGGGGTCGAGACTCCCAGTCTTCGCCGGTAAGCACGCGATCACCGGCTTCACGGCCGTCCTCCCCAGGAGCACCACGTCCTTCAGCACTGAGTGAGACGATGGAACGAAAATTGGGAAACCTTGAGTGCCATGAGGCGGAGAGACGGGCGCGCGAGGCCTAGCGCGCACGCCTTCAGGAACGGAGGGCGAAGGCAGCCAGTCGGCTATCGGCTGCGGGCCCCAGGCCTGCTCCCACGGGGGAGGTAGTCCCACCTCCCCGGAAGGGTGTGGAAGCTCCCTTAGGTCCCTCCGACTCGCGGAGAGACCTGTTTATGGGTCCTCTGCCACCATCGGCACCTAGGACCACGGCGTCGCCGGCGCCGGCCCCGTTTAGGACCGGCCCGGAAAAGTGTGGTCCGCCGGGGCCGATTTCGCCAACAGATGACGAAATCCCGCATCCGCCCCAGGATCCGCCCGATCTCTTTGGGTTCTGAAGACAGGACCGACAACCATGGGCCGGGCTCTAACGCCGCTGAGTTCTTTTAAAACCTTACAGTGATTTCAAAGCCCCCTCATTCAGCCAGTTTTACACTGGAACTGTAGAGATGTGGAACTGTAGAACTGTAGAGGCCAAGCGCCCAGGACTTGCAGACAGTTTTAAGCGCGCACTGCCCGGTGGCCATGCGTCTCCCGAGGACAAAGTCGGCGCCTGGCGCGGCCTTCAGCCTGGAAGGTAGGCGATTTTAATGCAAATCATACTGAGTGGGGGTGTGCTGCCCACGAACACTCGCGGTAGGTTACGTGAGGCTTTCGTGCGTAACGACGGCTTGTGTTTCATATACAGGAGCAAGAACGCATTTTGCATTGCCATCAGGACGATCGTCAGTGCCAGACCTGAGCATTTGTAGTCCGCAATTGCTACCACACTTACTTGGGATGCTTCAGAAGACCCCTCGAAAGTGACCATTTCCCGGTCTGGGTTTGGTACCGTCGTGGTTCTTTTCTTGGTTCTCGATCTCAGCGCTGGCATCTCAAGAAGGCGGACTGGAGTGAATTTGAGACCCACCTGGAGGAAACCTCCTTTAACGACTTCGACTCCGACTACGGAGGAATTTACGTACCTCGTTTCGGACTTTGCGAAGGCATGCATTCCGCGCGCCCCCGGAAGCCCTCGTCGCACCCCTGTACCTTGGTGGAATGACAAGTGTCGCGACGCTATTCGTGCACGTCGGAGAGCATTTAGGGCTTTTGACCGGCTCGGTAATTCATTAAACCTCATGGCTTTCAAGCAAGCACGCGCGCCCACACGCCGCACTGTACGAGAAGCGAAACGTACATCATGGCGCAACTACGTCGACTCTCTGAATCGCCACACGCCGACGTCACATGTATGGGGCCGCATTAAAGGGATCGCTGGATTGCACCCACAAGTTTCCCTTCCCGTACTGCGAATGGGAAGTTAAGACATCACTCACCCAAGTGATGTCGCGGAGGCCATTGGGGAAGCCTTGTCAGACCGTTGCCGAAATGGCACCTGCGATTTGCGGTTTTTGCGGCCCAGGGCGCGATGTGAAACTTCGCAAGTCAATTTTTATACGGATGACATGCTGACGTACAACAAGCAATTCACTATGATGGAACTTCACGCGGCCAATCGCTCGCTGCGTAGTGCAGGGGAGGGGCCCGACCTCATCCACAATGATATGATACGGCATTTTCCTCCCCGCGTACTACGAGCGCTGCTGGCACTTTTCAGCCGTGTATGGGAGTCAGGTAACTTCTCGCCAACATGACGAGAGGCCATGGTAGTGCCTATTTTAAAGCCCGGGAAAAGTGGAACGAAAGCCCTTCACTATCGCCCGATAGTCCTCACATCTTCGCTTTATAAGTTTATGGAAAAGAAGGGTGAATGTAGGGCTCTCGTGGACTTAAGAATGACAAAACTTTTTACGAATGCTCAGTGCGGATTCTGTAAGAACAGGAGCACGATTGACCACATCTGAACTCTTGATACGGCAGTGTGAGCCGGGCTTATTAGCAAACGTCATACCGTCGCCATCTTTTTTGACATAGAAAAAGCATATGGTATCACATGGAGACATGGAATTCTGATAAAGTTACTCGACTGTGGCATCCGCGGTCACATGGGAAAGTTTTTACAAAACTTTTTGACTGACAGATTATTTAGAGTGCGTGTTGGTTCTTGCCACTCCGACAGGTATCCGCAGGACAATGGTGCGCCTCAGGGCAGCGTATCAAGTGCCATTCTTTTCGCGGTGATGATAAGCGATATAGGGAACACTCCTCCACACGGGATCAGCCGTTCTATGT